CTCGTAAAGGAAGGGATTTCTCCCTGCTTATAAGCTACGACTTTCCTTCACTATTTTTGATGTGGATTGAAACTTCACTTCACCTAGTTCGTATATTTTTTTTGGGGTAAAAACTTAGCTAGTTCATATATTTGAATTTACACTGGTGGCCTAATGGCTTAGAAGCTTAAGATATCTTGGATTCGATTAGTACGACACGTTATTCGATCTGAAGAAGATAAAAAAGAGAAGTGAAGAGGATGCCTCCTCTTGTGCAACATATAAAGACTAGAGGAAGCAAAACGGTTGTGGTTATGCATCAGCAGTTTTGATATGTTTTATTAATTTGATTATTATGAACAATTGATAAAATAATCAATATTTATTATTTAATAAAATTAAATTAAATTATTAATAGACATTTTTAAATATAATAATTAATTATTTAAAAAATTATAAATCAATACAATATAAATTAAATTATGTGATCATAACTAGAACATGTAACTTTTTTTTTATACATATAATTATAGGTTATGTAAAAGAGGGTAACCCTCTATTATTTTCAAATTATTATTTTTAAATTATTCTTCACTTGACTCAAGACTTGAACTTGAGATATCTAACTTAGAGTTTCAAATTTTAAATTAATGAACTACCTATGAGAGTTCTAAAACATGTAATTAAAATGAACAATGATGCATACATTTTGCACAGTTATACACTGACGGTTTCATTAGTATATAACAGAAATCGTTAATTTTAATGACACAATTAATGAAAATCATTAATTTTAATGGTACAATTAATGAAAATCATCAATTTTAATAGTATAAATAACAGAAATTATTAACTTTAATGACATAAATAATAAAAATTATTAATGTGTAATGAAATATGTAACTTTATAAGGTGTAGTAATCATTTCTCAATTAAAATAGCAAGTTCTGTACAACAGACGAGAACCAGGTGGTGGGTAGCTGATGGGTCTTGCGGACATGTTGTGATGGGCTGGGTCAGAATCTTACTAGTAGTTATAGTGCATGAATCATGTAGCTTTAAGCTTATCGAACCTGGGTTCCCATTTAAAGCTTCTTGTATACACGATTTCATGGTTCTTAGAGGAAAACTAAAAACCAATCAATCAACAAAGCCCACATGAGAGTAACAAGATAACTGCAGGCCCATTTAGCTACCCAATAAAGCTCGATCCGGTCCGGCTCTAAAATTTTTGGACTT